AGTTTATAGATCACATTGCTTACTGAGCCAGAGTTTAGAGATTATTTGTGTGATTTTTCCACCATATTTAGGGCTGCTCCTTGCGTGGACCTTTTATATAAAATGCGATCAAGTGTGACTAAATACAAATATAGATTATTTAGGTGAGCACTTGATTAACCCGAAAAAAGAAAAAAAAATACAAATGAAAAATTGTACGCGAGATGAACAGCTTGAACGCTCACCGAATGGACACGTTGGGAATCGATTTTATGAAAATGTAGTCTTTCCTTTTTTTCTTAGGAAAATACCACGAAAAACCCTAAACTATGCTACTCATGACAAATTTACCCTAAACATTTTTTGTGACACGAAAAACCTCAAACTATGCCACTTGTGACAAATTTACCCAGAACTTTTTTTTGTGACACGAAAAACCCAAAACTATGCCATTTGCAATACATTTACTCCACAATACTTTGGCCAAAGGGCATTTTCATTTTTTTCCTTTTTATGTTTGTTTTTTCCTTTTTTTTTCTTTCTTTCCTCTTCCCTCCGCCGACCATGGCAGAGGGAAGCCGGCGTCAGGCGAGGGTTGCCCTCCCCTGGGCGGGCGAGGGTTGCCCTCGCCCGACGCTGGCGAGGGCCGCCCTTGCCAACTTCCCTCCGCCATGGCCGGCGGAGGGAAGAGGAAAGAAAGGAAAAAAAAACAGAAAAAAGAAAAAAGACGAAAATGCCCTTGAGCCAAAGTATTGTGGGGTAAATGTGTCACAAGTGGCATAGTTTGGGGTTTTTCATGTAAAAAAAAATGTTCAGGGTAAATTTGTCACAAGTGACATAGTTTGAGGTTTTTCGTGTCACAAAAAAAAAATTCAGGATAAATTTGTCACAAGTATCATAATTTGAGATTTTTTTTTGATATTTTTCCTTTTTTCTTTTTCTCTTTTTTTCTAAAAGGAATTGATTTCCATTTATTAGTGTTCAAGAGCACCGTTGAAAAAGGACATGGGGCATTTATCATGAGGGGGCGATTTCGTGCTGAAATCGTGCAAGGGAAATTGGCGTGAAACATGGGTAAACAGGGAATGCAATAATTGAGTTGGCCGGACCTAAGAGAGTAGGGAAATTTCTTGCTTGGACTTGGGTCGAGTGGGATCCGGCAAATTGCAATCGTTGATTTTACGGACTCGGCGATATGGCCGTTGATCACGTGAGTCTCACGTGGATATCATGCGTGATTTTCACGAGATCAATGAACATGACTCACTCGGTCCTCTGGACCCGGATCCGCGTAAGTATTTCAAAAATTAGGTAGGTGGTACGTTAATCCGTATAGACATAAAAGGCAATCAATATGTATATCTTCTTCAAACTTGACTTTTCTTTCGTGAAAAAACCGCAACCTGGCCAAAAAACTATCGAATCGCACCTTCTCTCTCTCCCTCGGATGGCAATAGCGATCATAAAAACTACGCAATGCCTAACTCAATATCGATGATATATCAAAACTTCCCAACACGAATCAACAAATTTCACGAATCAATTAACGAATGCTCGTAGATATCGTGGGCATCCTAAAAGCATACAATCGCGGATTCTTGGTAAGTGGAGTCGAGCAAGCAATTCTCTTTGTCATTTTCTCTCTCTCGGTCACGTATGACGACGAAGCGAAACAACAGTTGCATCTATCCCCCGTGTCCGTGACTCGTGCAGCTTTAAGAACGTCGAAAATCGTCAAGCCGATGTTGGATCGAAACACGTGTGTTCAACGCATTGACTATGTATGTATAGGCTCCCAAAAAACCAGCCCTGTTCCCTATACTGACCATCTCTTTTTGTAAAAGTCATTCCGCTTTGGCGAATGCAACAAAGTGTCTCACTCGTGAGTCAACTTCTTTTCGGACAGCGGCAACAGAGAGTATCCGAGGGAGGGGAAAAAGGAGGAGTGGAATGGAACCCTAGGATATCTCGTTGTCAAATTATATAGGGGTTGATATCACGAATACTTGCAAATTAATTTTAATCCCAAACTGGTGTATCTGTGATAATTTTACCTTCCGTTACTTTTCATTAAATTTTACCATCAAATTTCTGTGTTGGATGACACGTGACAGATGACGAATGTACCGGTTTGAAGTTTTAACGATAGATGTATCAGTTTATGATTTTTCGTGGTATTAATTCAATTTAACGAATGATAAATTTATTACGAATGTATCAGTTTGGGATTTTTTATAGTCACAAAATTAGCTAATGGTAAATTTATCACGGGTGTATCAATTTAGGGTTTTTTGTGATTAAAATATTAGTTTGAGATAAAATTTTCAGAAATGAATAAGTTTGAGATCTATAGTGATATTAACTCGCTATATAGTAACAGGGATTTTGTGAAACACCCATATAACATGAATATGTATACGAATTCAAATTACTTTTTTCTACAGTGGGTTTTTTTTTTTTTTTTTGGGATAGTGACTTTATCCAAAAAGGTGTTCATGTAACTTGGGGAAAAGTCATGGGTATTTGTGCAAGTTTTGTTGGGGGGGAATTCCCCAAGTCCCAAAAGGAGATGGTGATTAGAGTGCCCCTTTTTGTCTCTGCTGGAAGGAACCAGACATGGGTTTGGCGCTAAGTGGTGGGGATGAAAGAGGATTTGGAGAGTTTTCCTACTGTCATCAAATATATTTGCAGCACTTATTGCATTGAAGAAAGCCATGAAGAATCATTATTACATGTGCACAAACACACACACTCTCATCGATTGCCCCCTACCTATTTTTTGCTTTACGGTGGAGTGTGGGGACGCACAACCCTACTCTCCCAATGTTTTGGCTCCCCATGCTCTCTCGTGTAATTTCATTTTTTGTCTCGACCCATTACATGAAACAGATTGAATCGATCGAAATAGGACCCTTTCTAATAGGTGCGCAGTTCATAGATAGGCTAAATCCATTCTTGATCCGACGAGAGTGGGGGAGCAATCATCAGGGTAAGAATGGATCATATAAACTTCAAACTCTTTCTATCAGAAAAGAAAGTTTCGAACTCATGGAAGGTTTCCAAAATGGCGGGGGGTAAAAAATGGATCGTTGGGTGATATGGTCCAACGCTGACAAGAATGTCGGTTCTTTAATTGGAGGAGCTTGTGACTTTTTTTAAGTCTTATATCAATTGGAAGAGACTTGATCGAGTGCTTTATAAATCGACACCCACCCTCAAACGGTCGCCATTTTTGTGTGATTATTCGGAGTGTTTCTCTTGGGAGCTCGACCAACACGGAATGGCCCCGATCGTTACACTTTCTATTCATCATTCGGGCAGGTAAAAATCATCAATGGAATGTCGAGAATCAAGATATTTGTATTAATTACAGATGACCTTACCGGCTCTTTGACTAGCATGTAGGGAAGAATACTCGAGAGGGGGTTCTCATTCAAATAAATTGCATCGCTAAAAAGGAAGCAAAGATGGATTAGGCAATGCTTGAACTCGGATGCCAGGAATGGAATCTCGAAGTGAATAGAGAGCACATAGGCCTTCCTAACTTTACCCACGCATTTCCAAGTATATACTAAGCCACCCAAGCCTGTCGCACATTTAATAATAAGCCCTAAAATCTCTCCCTCTGTCTCTCGAATCTTGAAAAGGGCAAACATGCTTTGGCGCACATTTTAAATTTTCATGAAATTCGCAGCTAATAAGAGCCAAAAGGATAGCTTTTGTCATGGCCTATCCGCCAATTCGGTCAAAAGAAGAGAACAGTATTCCTTGCTATTGTATAAGCATCGCATCGGGTCAGCAAGGTTGCAGCTTTTCATTCGCCCAAAAAGGAACACCAAATAGTCAAACCATGGGTATCCTCCTTGTCTTTTATATATAAAAAAGAAAGCCTTTGAGGTTTCAATTATTCCACAAAAAAATATTAATTTAGAAATATCATTTGCATCACTTGAAATAATTAGTCGGTATAAAATATTTTCGTTATCCACAGCAATCCATATCTAAACAATTTCGTTGATGAAAAAAATATTTTCACTTCATTCATTTTTACAAGTGATATAAGTGATTATTTTTAAGAAAATATTTTTCAAATCATTCATTTTTTGTGAAAACAAGCAGAACCTAAGATCTTTTCTAACGCCCCTTGTAAATCAAGAGGCATCGGGGTTGCACCAAATAAGTTTGAAACACCAATGCAATCGTAATAGGGTGACTTCTCCATTTGCACTTGGAGAGTTATGTGACTTATGTCTATGTCTGATTAGATGGAAGCCCAATCGAACAATATGACTCGACTGAAGACAGTTTGAATCAAGAAAGTGCATTTATTTTGTGAAGAACTTTATGTCGAAAGAAATGATGTTGCCTGGAATTCATTTTCAAGAAATCTGGTGATTTTTCTAATGTTTGATTGTGAGCATGAAAATGAGTGGAAGTACTTTTCCGCCATTTGAATTTTACTTATGAAAGTAGGATGTATTATGCAATGCTATTAAATTATGCAAAGGAAACGATAAATTATAAATGCTTGCACACTTCGATGAAGCTCTCGTAGAGGGGAAAATTATCCAAAAAATTCAATACTTATTGCATGGAGGTCAATTCTGTCATAAACTTTTAAATTGTACCAATTTTATCGTAAAACCTTTTGATGATTTGACAATTTAGTATTAAAATTTTTAATGATTTGTCAATTTAAATGTCTAAATAATAGGTTTATAACTAAATTGACAAATCGTTAATATTTAAAACTAAATTGGCCGCTGTAAAATAAGTTTAACACTGTTGAGACAATTATCCCACTTGTAGAGGGTTGAGTGTGATTTGGAGATTAGGAATCACTGAGAATGAATAACTCAAACTTACTGTTATCTCAATCGTATCACTTGATCTGTAGTGAAATCCGGTAATATACTTTTCATAAAATAGGTAATGTCGTGCAAATCATGTAAATCTATTAAGCGATTTATTTCCTTATTCTATTTATTATATTTGATCGCTTGTTTTTGCAATATATACCGTACCCAAAAACAAACAAATTGCAATGTCCAGAAGTGATGCTGCAATATGCTTTTTACATGAGAAAATCTCCTCAATATCATGCTTCAAGACATGAGCTAACAACTAGCGTCACGATATGATATTCACAGAAAAGTAAAACCAGCATTAGACTAGAACCTGACCATTCAATTCGACAACTGAATTCTATATCTTCTAGATTTCTTCTGCCTTGACAATAAGGTTTCTTTTAGAAAGAGCAGCCTGGTTAGCGGTCCGATAATCAATGGGGCAGTCGTGCTTATCAGAGTGCCGGTGCGCCGCGCAGAAAAGGTTGCCGCACCTGCAGTTGAACCCGGTCAAACCCACGCGTTTGCGGCATGTAGCGCACCTATTAGGCCCATCCGTCACATTCATTCTGAGATTTTGGAACAGCAATACAGCTGAATTCCCAGTTGAAGTTGATTCTGGTGAACTTTTGATTGATGAGGCTTCAACATCCACTGCACCGCTGTGCATGTCCCTCGCACCAGCAACCGCATGCTCCTTCCCACTCTCGCTGGAGCTTGCCGTACCAATGCTGCTGATGGAGGAAGCTGTGAGCTCAGCTTGTTCTCGCTTCTGCAGCATATCCTTGTGGCACTTGGAACACATGTTTCCCAGGGCCGCACTTCCAAAGAAGCCACAGTTATTGATGCAAAAGATACAACCTTTTGTACTCTGCCATCCCATCCCCTTGTAGAACTCCATAGCTTCCAACTCCTGCAACGGGGGCAATCATCTGATGATGAAACATGAATTTCCACTTCTTTCCTTCTCATCAAACCGAATATTCCAAAATCAATTCTGATAAGGAATGGAAAATAAGGAGAAGGTCCCTGGCATTTTCAGGTTAGCTTTAAAGTGAATTGGCAGGAGTCATCAGAAGAACCCGAATAAGTTAGAGGACAGACCAGATCCCTCATCCCTCTCTCAGACCCAGAAATAAAAACAAGAGACAGAATGAACATGTGCTTCTGCTTTCCGAAACCAGCATAATATGCTCTGAATATTAATTAAATCATCGAATGGCTTGACTAGATCATATGACAATTTCCTTTACAATATCATGTCAAGGGCTCCATAGAGACAGTAAATTCTGTTGTTTATGTAATCATCATCAAAGCCCCCCTCCCTTTCACACAGACCAGGGAGAGAGACGAGAAGGAGACAACAATGAACATCCAAGAGCACAACAGCTTTAATTAAATCAATCAGGATTACCAGATTACGATCTGACAGACATATAGAATCAAGGGAATATATTTCTAACAGTATGCAAGCAAGCATCAATCCATGCATTGCTAGCCCCTAGATGTAATATACGTGTAGAGCATGCAAGCTGAGGAACAGAAAAACCATGGATCCCGAGAAATAAATTGATACAAAAGCAAACAAATATTTCATTAAAGCCATATTTGTTTTTGAACATGCTTTGCTGCAGCATGGGCTGGGCAAACTCTCCTAATGGTTTTGGAAGGCAATTCTTCTTTTCAGTCCGCATCTTCTAAGCCAAGAAAGAGTAACTTCTCGATTAGCATCATTCCCAAGATCTTAAGAAATATCAATACCATCTCTAGAAATATCTTTCCCATGTGGGAACAGCATCGGTGGTCTCGACTCTGAGCATATCATTTCATCCTAATTGTCTCAAGCAGACGTATCTTTGCAAATCACATATAATCAAAACTTTCATCTTTTTGAGTCCTTGGTCTTAAACTACCAAGGGAGAAACAGGTATAACAACGAAAACAACAACAACAACTCTATGTCGATCCATCAGCATGGATATGGGCTATTCCACAAATAACCCTTAACTCGAGATGAAGGCAAAGAAAGCACGCCTAGGGTCGAAAACACGACAACTTTCGATTCATATTCTCCCCTACACCTCAATACATGTTACCAAGACGCGGTCCCTTCCTCCCCACGACCCTGCAGAATCCGATACAACATAATTCATGCCAAAGAATCCGAAGCCATACATTTTGGGATTGCTATCGCAACCTCTTCACACGGTGTCGCCTTCCACACCGTTTTACTTACAAGAAATCATGCTAATCGCCACCAACCAAGTTACGCGCACACATGATTGTCAACAACATAGGCAAGTCCAGTCGGCAGGCGGAAAATACAATTACCCAGAGAGAGAAAGAGACCAAGTTTCGTCTTCGTTTCGGCCGATCTTGAGCGGCAAATCCAACCAGATCGCCTGCGACCAAAGCAAGAACTGCATTCGATGTCGAATTCGGGATTTACAAGAAAAGCAAATCGCAGTACAAAGGAGAAGCGCCGAAAGACACTGAAATTTTTACAGTGAGGGAGAAGAATCCGCAGGCGAAGCAAAGAAGATGATCAAGCAATGACCGGACGGAAAATGGAGACCGCCGCCGACTATCCAGCGATGGCTTCTCTCTCTGTTTCAAACACACTTGGCGGGCTTTGTGAAAACTGAACGACGCGAGCAAAACGTTAGTTTGTTTTTTATAGCCTTTTATTTTGTTTTTCCCCACTATCAATTCTTTCCATTTTTCAGAATCGCAAAAAAAATAAAAATATATATTAATTTTCTTCAGCCGACTTGTACATTTTAACTTTTAGTTATACAATTTTTTCTCAAAAGCCCAATTTAAAGATAAAACGGGCATTTCATGACCCTGCCAAAGTATTTTCATTTCAAATCTCGATCATCAGATATGATCTCATTTTCGTCCATACGTTACATGGAAAATCGAAATGTCTCGGGAATATCATCTTGAAGCTCCTCAAAATATAGCCTCCTTCTTTTCTCGAACAATGCTCGCCCAAAATAAAAAAAAAAGGATGAAGTAACATTTAATACGTCATTTAATTAATAAAAAAACACCTAAACGTATACGTTTCTCTTATCTAAATTTTGTTTTTTGGGCAATATATTGATAATAGTGTGTCAAATGGATACTACGTAGGGTGTCCGCATAAAATTTAGTAAATTTTGAGTACTAGTTTTTCAATCGCGATGTAATTTCTCGAGCGCGTGATTAATTTTTGCTAATGATACGTGACTCGAATCTCTCTTAGGGAAGAAGAGATGGAAACGATTATCATCGATTCCCAAACCCCATTCGCTTCACGCCGTTCCGGCGGGAAAAGAGGAAAGACAAAAACCGCGAAATGGCGGGAACAATTCCGACGCCGAAAAATTAAAAAAACCCGAAAAATAGATAAGAACAAAAAATCAGAGCGCTGCTTCGGCCTCGGTGTCTCTCCCCCTTCAAACCTATCTTCCGGTTTCCTCTTCTTTCTTTCACGGCAAGGCAAGCAAGCAAGCAGAGCGTATCTCGCCCCGACTCGAGCTCCGGTTTCGCTCCGGCATGGGGAAGAAGCAGAGGAAGGAATCTAGGGCTCCGCACGGCCACGGCGACGGCGAGGAGGCGCGCGGCGGGGATCGCGCGGAGTCTTCCGCGGCTCAGATGAGCTTGTACGAGGTGAGCTCGGAGATGGTCTCTCGTCCCCTGTCTTGTGCTCCGTCGCGCGCGCGCGGAGCGTTGGATTTTGCCTTAGGTTGTGGTTTCGGGTGGGATTGATTAGGGAAAGGGGGGAAATGTTTTTTTTTAATTTTCTATTTTTTGGGTACTGCGATGCTTGATTGGATTGGCGTTTGCGTGGGTTGAGTCCCAATTCCGGCGCCCGAATGTCTCCTGTTCTGGAGTTCGTTACTATTGCATGGCGGGGATGGACAATCGAGGGGCTGGTGCAATCTCTAATGGTCATGTGCTGCAGTTTATGAAACTGTGAATTTCGCATGAGATTTCGACCTAAGATTTTGCTAGGATTTTTTTTTTATTAGGGTTAAGTTTCCAGCGCTATTGACTGCTCGCATGGCGTAAGTGGAGGTGTTCTTTAGCTGGGATTGGAGATGTGCATAGTGAGTAATTTACTTGAAGCTGAATGACTCGACTGTGCTGTTCAAGGGAAGATGCGGTATTTGTTTTTTCCATTTTAGTTGCTGAGAGGATGCTGAAAAGTTTGATTCGAGAATTTCGATGTTATCGCCCCTTTATTGGTGGGTCATTCCAAGGTTGAGCTTAGAAAAGGGACTGATCCTGAAACAGAGAGTCGCTTTGCGGGTTCCTTTTCCTCGTTTTCCTTTTCACGTTCTTAGATGGTTAGGGGAAGTATTTTCGGAGCCTTTGAACTCCTCTTGATTGGCATGCCGTCGTTTCTGATGCTTCGTTTACACGGAAACTGATTGCTCCATCCACGAGGCAACCGTCTGCTCTGATGAGTAAGAAATGTACCAAATTACAGCCTGGTTGGTTTAATGATCTACGGTTGTTCAGCTAGCTTAGGCCACAATTGCCACCTTGGATTTGCTGAGATGACCTTTTTATCATTTTGCCCCATTTAAGGTTACTGATGATTCAGGTAGTTGCTACTTGCGTAGTGACATTCCTATTCTTCAGTTTTCTTGGGAAGCTTATGATCTGTAAGCACTCATTAGCCTTAAATTGACACTTCTGCAAAGTAAGCTTCCTCTTTCTAGGATTGTGTCGGCTGAATAAGGATCAGAAAAGAGGTTATGTTCATATATCAGGAATAAGAGCGTATCCTATTCAGGAACGCATTTGCCATGTTTTGTAGCTGCATTTGCTTAAGGGTGAATGGGAGTTACTCAATGAAGATGCTATGTGTTGCAGATTCTTGGTGTGGAAAGGACAGCTACTCAGCAGGAAATAAAGAAGTCATACTATAAGTTGGCCCTGCGACTCCATCCTGATAAGAATCCTGGTGATGAGGTTAAGTTAATTCCGATGCCCCTATGTCTTGACAATTGAAATAGTTTGCATGGGGCTGGCTCCTCCAATCTCTAACTCCACTTTGTCGTAATTTGTTTCGTTCTTGTATCATCAGGAAGCCAAAGAAAAATTTCAGCAATTACAAAAGGTGATCTCGATTCTAGGTGACGAGGAGAAACGGGCATTATATGATCAGACTGGCTGTGTCGATGATGCTGTGAGTTCCGCCTGAATCTCTGCACAAGCATAATCACAAAAAACCGGGAGAGAATTAAGTCTTGATCTCTATCCGATATATAAATAGCTGTCGCAAGCAAAGAGAGAAATTATGTTAGTTGAATATATTTAAGATAGCAAAGTCCACAGACTCTGTGCTTTGAGATGGCCTAGCTAAAATTGGACAAATGATGATAAATTGTGATATACTTCAAGCCTGAGTTTAATAGTATATATTATTGGGCAATTAGAGTTTTCTTCCATTATTGCAAGTGTTTTTTCTCAAATCTATCTTCCTGCTATTTAGGACCTTGCAGGGGACGTCGCTCAGAATCTGCACGAGTATTTTAGAGCTGTATACAAGGTTGTTCATGTTCTACCTGGAATGATATCTTTCTTTCTAATGTGAATGGCGTTCTCTTGCATGAATATCTCTATGTTCGAAGTTATCTGACATGGCTTCATCCAGGTGGTTACTGAAGCAGACATCGAAGAGTTTGAGGCAAACTATAGAGGTTCTGATTCTGAAAAGAATGATCTGATTGATCTATACGAGAAATTCAAGGGTAACATGAACAGGTGGGGTTGATATGTCCTTTTTCCTTTCTTGTAGATGCCTACTTGACATAGAAGTGTTTGACATCTTTTGTACTTTTTCCTTCACAGGCTTTTCTGTTCGATGCTCTGCTCAGATCCTAAGCTTGATTCCCACCGCTTTAAGGATATCATCGATGATGCAATAGCAGCAGGTTGGTGTTTTGACAATTCGATCTCTTCTTGACTATTGGCTTCACTCTTAAACCTCAGTCAGAATTTGAGACTTTCAAGCAGGGTTGTGCTTCATTGTGTTTTATAGAGTTTAGTAACGGTAAGGTCAATATGTAAAAAAAAAAATGCTTACCACATTGATAATATTTAGCACTAGGTGCTCATTTACTTTTTATGGAGAGCGTCCTATTTTTCTGTCTTTTTATGGTTCTAAGTAATGCTGGTCTGAGGATACTGTTGTTTTGTAGCTTAGATCTTATGTGTGCTTAATAGTGTAGTGTACACTATCCTGCTATCGTGCTTAATAGTGTAGTGTACACTATCCTGCTATCGTGCTTACTGCATGCTCTGTTTCTCTGTGTACTACAGGAACGTTGAAGACAACCAAGGCGTACCAGAAGTGGGCAAATCAAATTTCTAAAACTGAACCACCTACAGATCCTCTTAGAAAGAGGGGGAAGTGAGTGACACAGCTGCACTGGGCTTTCTATTCTAAATAATTTTTGTTTCGATTTCTTCACTGTACTGTTCGTAGTATATTCTTCTTTTGAATTGGAATGCTAACTTTTGTTTCTCTTTTCAATAGAGCGAAGAAGAAGTCAGACGATCTTTTCGCAATTATATCTCAGCGCCGTAGTGAGCGAAAGGAGAATTTTGATTCCATGTTTTCATCTCTGGTGAATAAATATGGTGGTGGAACGCAGGGTTCAGAACCCAGTGAAGAAGAATTTGAGGCTGCAAGAAAGAAACTTGAGAGCCGAAAGTCTTCCAAAAAGTCCAGGCAGAAATGACAAGAACATGTGATGTAGCTTTCTATTGGATTAACCATGTATAGCTTTTTGTTGCTTTGAGCACTCTCTTATGCTCCTAATTTATGTAGCCAAAATTGGTGTGTTTGATTTCCCCTTTGTTTGGATGATATTTTCGGATGACAGTTGCTCAATGCACTCTTGTTTTGTTTCTTATTTTTCTGGCAGTGCAAGAACTAGATTTGCCGTAATACTGGAAATTGTGTCCAATGAAGTACTATTTACGCAAAATAAGTGGCCTCTCTGAGCAACTTTTGGCGTGACTGAGATGCATCTAGGCTGAATAGGCTTAAGGATTTAATGTGCGAATGAGATGTTGCTGACTATAGTTTTGTGCTTGCTTTAGTTACAGGAACTTTTCTTTTCTTTCCCAAATGGGATTAGACTACTTTTCTACTGAATGGCTGATCATTATGCTGCTATTGAGCGGGGAAATAAGATAAAAAGCATGTGTCTCTAGGCAATCATTCGATTGTTAAAAAAAGGATTTGATTAAGGCCCGTTTAGTTCAGCTTTTAGAATATTCATTTGGGGAATGTAAATACCTTTAGGTGAAAGTCACTTGAAAAAATGCTACTTGGGGTCACTTGGGGAAATGCAATTGTATTTGGTTATTTCTTTTTACAAATGGGCTTTGGGAGGTTTTTTTTTTATATTATTTTTAAAAGTACCCTTCGCCGGCTCCGGCGAAGAGCTACGGCCGCCGGCGAGTCAAATCTGGTGCCGGCGGCAATCGCCTGAGGTCGCGCGACCCAGGCGGCCGTCGCCTAGGGTCGCGCGACCAAGGCGTTGCGAGGGTCGCGCGACCCACGCGACACCGCCCGGGCGGTTGCGCGACCCGGGCGACGGCGCTCGGACGATCGTGCGACCCCAGGCGGCCGTCGCCTCGAGGTCGCGTGACCCCGGGCGGCGACGGCCCGGGTCGAGCTGACCCCAGGCGACGGCCGCCGCCCGGGGTTGCTCGACCCAGTCGTCCCCGCCCCGGGTCGTGCAACCCAGCGATGGCGCCCGGGCGGTCGCCGCGGCGTCGTCGGTCGCATGACCTCGCCGGCCCCTCGCTGGCGGCGCTGGCCCCTCGCCGGCCGCCCTAGCCGGCCACGCTTTGCTTAAGAAGAAATTTTTTTTTTTTTTTGGGGAACAGTCAGCATTCCAAATGCTACCAAATGAGCATTTGGAACTCCAATGCTGAACCGTTTGGTTCAGCATTTTGGGAATGCTCATTTAAGGCCAAATGAGCATTCCCAATGCTGAACCAAACGGAGCCTAAGTATCGAGGAAAGGCGGAATGCTTCCCTATTAATGCATGGTCAGCAACTTCTAAATGAAGAAGAGAAACTAGAAGAAGCTCGACATACTTTTAATTCATTGTCATAAAACAACGAAGCCAGATTTTAAGTATATTGCATATCCATTTTCGAATTGGGTGTAGAGAAATATAGGACTGACTTATTTTGTTTAAATGTATTAATCAAGCCAAAGCTCGAATCTCTTTGTTAGCTCGACAAACAAAACTTGTTAATGCTTCCTGCAACTCAAGGGGGCATGATGCAATTTTAATAGCTTATGCCGAAATTCTCGATTGCAACTTCGGAGCAATTTCTTCAGATTAGACCCGATCAAGATTTAAATATAATGCCGTGGCCGCATCTTGGGGTCAGGAGCAATGTGTCCTACTCGACTTAGCTGGGAACAGTTGTAACGAGAACTAGAATTCAACTGCGTGTCCAGTACAAGGACGATCAGCAAGTTGGGAATTGGATATCCATGTTGTGCAGATTTTGTTTGCAGAGCCTAGGCCAGTTCACATGCTACAATGCATGGGGGACGATGTGCATGCTTAAGATTTGCCAAATCTGAATTAGTAATACATCAAATCACAAGTTCTTACAACTAGAATGACATCATCCATCTGAGATTTTTGAGTGGCATGTTGTTAAAGACACAAATGCCGGACGCAGCAACAAATAAATTGCGGTATCATGAGCTGCGTCGCAATATGCTTTTTACATGAGAAAATGTCCTCAATACTACGCTTCAAGACATAAGCTAACTGGTAAGCCGTACTCATGGGAAGTCAAACAAGCATCAGACTAGAGTCTAAGATCCTTCAACGCAGCTCCTGCGTTCTAAGATATTATCAAATTGTTATTGCCTTGATGATGGGGTTCCCTTAGCTATAGCATCCTGGCCAGCAGTCCTGTAATCAGAAGGGCAGTCCTGCATATCAGAATAGTGATGCGCCATCCATCTTGAAGAGGAACCGGAGATCATCCGTCGAATCTCATCTGTTGAGTGCAAACTGCTCTGAATTAGAGCCACTGTACAGGCCAAAGATTTGGACATAATCGGTTCATAAGATTTGTAATTATTGCATGGTTTCTAGGTAGCTGGGTCTTCTCACCCTAGCACCTGCAGTTGAACCCAATCAAATCTACCTGTTTTCATCATGCGGTGGACCCATCAGGTACAAAATTTTTGAAGAACAGTGCAGCTGAATTGCCAGTTGAAGTGGATTTTGGTGTACTCCCGATTGAGGAGACTTCAAAATCCAGTGCACCCTTTGCACAGCCCCTGTGCCAGCAACTGTGTCCTCCTTCCCACTCTTGCTTGAGCTTCCCGTGACCAATGCGGCTACCAGGAGAAGCTGCAAGCTTAGCTTGTTCTTGCCTTGGCAGCATGTCCATATGGCACTTCGAAGTTGGGAAATATATTTGCTGTGGTAGCACTTCCAAGAAAGCCTCAGTAACTGATGGAAAGGATGGGGCCTTTTGGAGTCTGGCATCCTAACTCGCTACAAAGATTTCTTTAGCTTCCAACTCCTGCAATAAGATATCTTTTGATGATGAAACACAAATATCCATTTCTTGCCTTCTCAGACAACCAGATGAAACAAAATTATTTCCATTAAGGAATGTCAAATGAGGGAAAGCTTACAGGCATTTTCAGGTTAGATTTAATGTGAATGGCAGGAGTCATCAGAAGAACCTAGAAAAGTTAGGGGACTCACAAGATCCTTTCTCCTTCTCCCAGATTAAGATCGAGATCGAGAGAGAAAGAGAGAGAACAAGGGCTTCTACATTCTTAAAACTGGATAATTCACTCTGAACACAAAAAAAATCATTGATCACTTAATTCCCCATGACTAGATTATATGACAGTTTCTTTTATATGTATGGTTTCGCTCCATCTCAAATCAGGGTGAATTCTTTCATTGGTGTAATCATTAATAAAGGCCCCCACCCTTTCGCACAGACCATTGATAGGAAGAAGACAAGAAGTCAAATAAGTTTCTAACTGCTCTCAAGCACGAGAGCACAACAGCTTTGAGATGATAACTAAAAGTTCACAAGATAGCGTCAACACAGGTATTGCTAGCCCCTAACAGAATATACCTAAAGCGTGCAAGCTGATAAACAAAAAGATTGGGAATTGATAGCAAAAGCAAACAAGTATGTCACAATGCCCTACAGGCCTTCTCGACACAATATCACACAATTTATTCCAAAGAGTCCAATGCCCTACATCTTGGGATGGCAGTTGCAATCCGTTCACATGGTATCACCTATTGCCAACACCCCAAAAAGCAATAAATCATGCTAATCATCACCAAACAAGTCGGGCACACGACATCTTCGACAAAATAGGTCAGTCTAGTCAGTGTTTAGGGAATATATTAAAAATTAGAGAGGGACAACCGGGATCTTGTGTTTAGAAAAACATTCTGAGAGATTTGAAGACCCACAATTCCTGCATGAATTATAATGAGAGCGAATCACCTCCATTTTAGGAACCAAAAGAGTGCAGTAGAGGTCTGTAACCATAATCAGTGAAACCGCAGGTTCTTACAACGGTAAGGCCACGGCTTAAAGCTCTCGGAATGCAGCTGACTCTTTGTATGCATCAACAAAAGCTGTGTCATCAAACAATAAGCATTGAAGCCATAGGCATAATCAAGGCTTCCATTCAGCATCATATATATTCCTCTAGTTCTAACAAAACCATCACCTGCTTCTACCTGGACACGTTAACAAGCTTAGTGTATGAAAATGGCTAAGAGAAAAGGCAATGCAAAATAATTCATATTCAAAACTCCTCTTGAAGATCTGCAAATACTAAATCCAGACAAATTTTAAAACAGAGAAGGCAGAAGAGTGGGGGGTATTTTAAAAGGAGCAAATAGACTCGAGCTTCATAATGATAAGATTTTAATGGAACTATCTTTACTTTATGGGATGAAGGTGAGATCTGTCTCTTCATGTCTACTGCCAGAAGCAGAAAGAAATTGTATGACAAATTTGAGATCGTTCATTGAGCCAATATGGGGACATGTGTAAACTTCCTAGCTAGAGTAAAGGGATTAGTCGAGCTGTGATTTTAATCGGAACTGTGCGGTCCAAGAAACGTCATTTATTGTATATCATGCATTTTTCCAAGACCAAGACAACCATGCGCAAAGCACCGTCCTCTCATATCTAATTTTATTGGAACTCTTCTACTGGTATATGGACAGTTGTGTGGACTGATGGGCTTATCGGCCTTGATCAGTAGACAGGAAGACGCTGCCACTTTGAGCCTGTTGTTGGAGAAGAAAATCAATATGTGTGTAACTGTGTGTTACGTAGCTTACCCTGTAGACCTTTTGAAGAAGGTTCTGTTACTAATATATATATGACTTAAGCAACATCAGTCATTGTAAATCACATGCTCTAGGAACAAGGCAATCATGAAGAATGCACCCTTCTCATACCTGTTGCTTGATAGCATTGATGGGCAACCTCAACTTTTTTCCAATAATCCTTTTCTGCCGTTGACTCTGCTAATTAACGAGAATAATGAAGAAAACATCCAAATAGAACAATGTAAGGACGCTACTTTTCAGTCCTCAATATCATACACAAGGGAAACCACATCCTGAACACAAGTTTCTCCCGAGCAAAGAAAATTCAGAACGTCGCATAGTTCTTCACTATGTAAATGAGACTGGTCACCTGCCACAAATGTGGACACACAGTCCTTAACCATAATCCAAGACCATCCAGGCTCTTTAGTTACACCCTTTGACTTCATCATTTTCCTTATTTCCGCTGCGTCGGTCCACCGCTCCTTGGCAGAATAGACATTAGCCAGGGCAATGTGAGTTCCAGCACAATTTGGGTCTAACTCGAGAATATGCTCGGCAATTCGCCTTCCACGGTCCCCATCACCATTGATTTTACATGCTCTCAACAAAGTTGACCAGACAACATCATTACATTCATATGGCATTCTTTTGATCATGTGTTCTGCCTCGTCCAATCTTCCAGCTCGGCAGAGAAGATCAATCATGCAGCCATAGTGTTCTCTTGAGGGACTAATTCGTTGTTCCCTGCTCATTGAATCGAAATAGTCAAAACCAAGATCGATTAGTCCAGCGTGACTACATGCAGTAAGAATGCCAATATATGTCACAGGATCTGGTCTCAACCCAACACTAGCCAGCTTCTCAAACAAATCAATTGCTTCATGGCTGTAACCATGTTCTGCATATCCATTAATCATTGTTGTCCACACCACAATTTCATAATTTGTTGCCTCATCAAAGATTTTGGATGCTTCTTTTATACTCCCACACTTGGCATACATATTAATCAAAGCACTCTGTATTGTAGGTGCCTGTTCTAAACCCAAAGACAGGACAAGAGCATGAAGTTGCATCCCTTGCTTGAGAATAGCCATATTACCACACACAGTAAGAACAACCGAAAGAGTTGACTCAGTGGGCCTGAGTCCTTCAATCCTTATCCACGACAGAAGCTCAAAAGCTTCCTCGCCGTAACCTTCTTGAGAATACCCAGTGACTATAGTATTCCACGAAACAATGTCTCTCTTGGTGATTTCGTGAAAAATAGCTAGTGCTGAAGATAACTGGCCGAGTTTTGAATACATGCTGATAATGGAGTTTGCCACTGGCAAGGAATTTAAAAGACCTTTGCACAAAACTTGAGCATGTAATTGTTCGCCACATATAGTTCTTGCAAGACTAGCACATGCAGAGATAACTGCTCCATATGTGTATTCATCAGGACTGGCACCAGATCTTTTCATCCTTAAAAATGCTACAAATGCAGATTCTTCCATACCCATCTGAACGTATGTCGTGATTATAGTTGTCCACGACACTACATCCTGTGTGGGCATCCTTTCAAGTAACCGCACGGCATTGTCAAACTTCCGACACTTGTTGTACATCGTGGCAAGTGAATCAGCCACAAATGAGCTCGCATCAAAGCCTTTCTTAATTATGTGTGTATGTATCTCCCTCCCACAGCTCAAAGCACCAAGATCAGCGCATGCCTTCAAAATAATAGCAAATGTGTGCCCGTTACATTGCACTTCCGACTTGCACATTTCAGCGAAGCAGGACACCGCCTCCCTATAGTGGCCACAGCTAACAAGCCCATTTATCAGGGCAGTCCAAGAAATAACATTCTTCAGTGGCATCTCATCAAATATTCTATAACCCAGCTCGATTCTGTGGGCTTTCGTGTACATGTCAAGAAGGGCACTTCCCACATATAGCGAGTTTGCATCTCCCGTTTTGACGGCATATCCATGTAATGACTCGCCAAGATTCGGGTTCATATCAAGCGTGCAAGCCTTGATCAAAAGACTGAGCATGAAATGGTCCACGTGGAGTGCTGGCTGAACCCGCACGTCGGAGAACAAACCAAAAGCTTCGGTTATATCCATGGCGCTGACATACCCAGAAATCAGGGTGGTCCAAGAAATCTCGTCTCTGCAAGGCATACTGTCGAACAGTGAGCGAGCATCACCCAAATAACCTGTTTTGGTCAGCTCCCGCAATCGGGTGTTGTATTGGATCATAGTCACGCGACTTGAGGTTGAAGAAGAGAGCTTCCTGATGTGAGGCCTGGCCCACGATATCATCTTCGCCATTACGGAAGACTTGATAGCAACGCAATCATCCTCGCTTCCGAGCACTCTGTTGCGCTCCTAACTGATGGAGCCCAAGTTGGCGTGCGGTTGATCTTCCCGCCTTTGTTCGAACGACATTTCCGCGATGCACTCTTGTTTCGTCTGCTCATTTGGCGGGCAGTTCCAACCACTGGATTTGCAGTTCATAGTTAAACGCCATGTACATAAAGAGTCTAGGTGCTTGATGCCACTGTCTCTGTTTATTCGAGGAATAATGACACAAATAATCCCCGAATTTCGGCTAACGTACAAATGCGGTCCTCAATTTATACATGTTCAAATTAGTCCCTAAACTATATGAACAATGTATTGGCTTTTCTACGAACATGCATAGTTAAAAAATATAAACGCAAAAAATATATAACTACACATGTATCTCCAAAGGCGTTGTTCGTGCGTTTCAATCAAAAATCGAAGACCATAGGGGGTTAATCGCATTACCTCTCGTAACGTGTCCAAAACGATTTCGGTCTGGATGTTTCTTGGCCTGTTCCATAACCATCTGACCTCTAGTTCAGACACATCACCAATCGCACGACGAACAGTAAGGAAGAACTTGGCGGATAGTCACCAATAGAATTGTGCTAGCAATCTTGTGGCGATAATTCTCCGCACTCTTGATATTTCAATACGACGTCGAAAGAGAGAAAAACTATTTTTCTTTTAACTCTCACGCACACATCTTGCACTCTTACTTGCACTGTTTCTTTTCTGTATTTTTTTTTATATCAGCAACTGTTACTGATCCCATTCTATTTGTGCGATCAGCAACAGTTACTGATCGCATGGATACTCACCACACAATCAGCAACCGTATTTAATTTTATAAAATTAAGAGTGCAAGATCGTATGGCACATTAACATGTGTCCACTTTAGGTTTGCGTGTGCATCATATGCACGCACGCTCATGACTGAAATAAAATTAAATTAAATCACATTTAATTTAATCTCAATCGACTAATCGATTGCTATAATTACAAACATATTTGCAATATTGCATCTTCCGTACAACGTCATCCTAAATTGGTTATGGTGTGTGACATTCCTAGGTTCATCACCGAGTTGGTAGTAGGACTTGCACTAACACATTAATACTCTCAAGAAAATTGATTGTCCCGATCAACCTCTAGATCCTACAAGCCATGATTGACATCTAGCAATATGTCATGGCTACTCGAGATAGTGTGAATGTTTTAAGAACATAATGAACCGTCGGCTTTAGTTACAGTGTAATTCAATTCCTCTGCCTTACTATGTCCCGATCGAACAAAGACCATGGAATATTTGTCAAGTCACCAATTCGATTATATGCACAAATCTAATTGACATGCATTTTATATGAGACACGAACAGTTCATTCTCGGTTACAACTCCGGCCGAGGATTTTAATGCAATGTCAAGATAGGACATCATTATTGTACATTGTGTATAACAAGGAGATAGATTCCATTTGCGCACACGTGTAACTTCGTATGTGAACGAACTATGGCCATCAAGTACATAGACGTATCAACGAACCAAAGAATATTTGCACCTTTGAACCATAGCCATTCAACACACAAGTCAACACACGCGCCTCGTGTCTAAGGATTATTTATACAAGACTGAGCATGAACGATTAGGCATTGACCACGCTAAAAGCTTCCATGTTGCTAATCGTTATATGCGTGTCACGTTCAAACTTGTTCGATACAAACACTCGTGTTCTAGCTCGGGCATCACAATACCCAATGACTCGTGACTCGTCATTCCCTTAAATATCCAATACTTAATGGTGAAGCTAAGAACACACCGGTCTCAACAGGATTATTGATATCCACTCAATGATCCATCGACCGAACAATTTAAAGATTCGGTCTAACTGTGAACCCGTCACACATATTCTTAACGTCTCAAGAATAGGTCCATAAGCAATCGATCTTATGGAATCATTCATATATTTAAATAATTGGACAAATGAATAAATACGTCATTGCCATTAAATAAATAATGAAATTGAAAATACAACTTAAATCCCTAACATGTAACTATTATATGATGACTTTAGGGCATACATCTAACAACATGTTCAATGTTATTCCTAAACTTAAATTAATGGAACGATAACATTTAACATTTTCATACAGTCCAGGGACTAGTTTGAACATGTATTAAAAGTTCAAGGACCATATTGAACGAATTAAAAGTTCATGAGCCACATTGAACATTTTCATATTGTCCATTGACTAGTTTGAATATGTACTTAAAGTTTAAGAACCCTATTGAACAAATTAAAAATTTAGAAATTACATTGCACATTTGATCAAATTTTGTGAACTAGGTATGTCGTTTTCCCTTTATTCAACTCACTAGTGACATCTTGCTGCTTTAATTCCGCCCGCAATCTATGAGCAACCGGCGTTACGGGTTCCAGGTCCAGCTTTAGGATATAAAACCAGGAACCAATCCGGTCAAGGCCGATTTTCGGGTTGAGCCAGCCCCACTAGCTCACTTCGAGTGCAAATCTGTCTAAATTGCATTCTACACAACAATAACATGTTCCTTGCACGTACGCCGACACTAGTATCCTGATCATGCTATTGACATCTCATATGCTTTGCCAAATAAAAAAAAAAGAAAAAGAGAGGCATCCCCTTTGCTTTCGCTTTATGTGGCAATCAAGCGTCCCTGGCCCATCATTTGTACAGCATTTTTTCCCCCGACTTTCATGAATTCATAAATCATCCTCCCTCTTCCTCTTTGTTTCGTTACATGATTGCCAAAATCTTGCCTCTCGATTTATTTTCATGAACGGATGCTCATCATGCTCAATTAGCGTTTTTTCTTTTTGTGGGGGGGTACGAAAAGACAGATGGTTCGAAATCATTGCAACAAGAGAGAGACGCAATGGAAGGTGCGATGGGGGCTATGATGAGCAATGATCTGTAAAATGGGCCAAACCCAATTCAAAAGGGATCGTGCACGGATTGAAAACAAGTCGCGGCAAAACATCGTTTTTTGAAATAATTTAGCGATTTCATCAGATTCATCACGGGGGAATTAGTCGGGTCGATAAGGCGATCGGGATTTTACGTCTCGAAACATAAAGTTTTCCGCCTTGTCCGTACGCGAAAGGCCTTTCGTTTGGTGGGCAAACGACTCGCTCAAGCTACTCGTATACTTGAGTATTGTGCATGGGCCACACTTTCGAGCTGTCCTCCAGGTCTTATCCAACACAGGTCCGTCTTACGTTTCTTTTTCGCACCCCTTACCTAATTGGTTGGGCCAAATTGTCACTGACAAAAAGACAGTGGAAAAAACTTAGTTTTGGGACACTCACCTGCCAAATTATCAGGCCTACCAACTCCCAAAAAACTCGTTATGGCAGCCACCAACCAACAATCAACAAAAGAAGAAGAAGAGAAGAAACGAAGAAAGAAATTAAACATCATTACCGCCGGAAGATGCCCAAAAGACACCAAATTTGATTATTCTTCTTCACCAAATTTGCGATCCCCAAAAAACAAAACTAATCATCATTACCCCACCCCGAAGATGCCCCTTTGAATACAATAGTTTTCGTTCGCCCTTTTATTAGGTGGGTCAGTGACCGAGCGACTCCAAAGGACATCCATTTGTTATGACTTTTAAAACTAATTGTAGTGTTGACTACAAATCACTCACGTAAATGAATGTCTATAAAAATCCGTAAAAATGAGCAAGGGAATTCCCCCACTTAGAGATTAGAAATTACCTACTTAAATCCTGGAGTAGAAACTCCATGTGGAAATTGGCCCGCGTCAGGGCCGCCTACATCAAAAGGTGTGAACAATTGCATGCTTATATTCCCGAATTGTCGAAAAGAGAAAAGAAAGAGAAAAATTCACTTGATAAATCTATTCCATAAGTCTGACCAAAAAAAAAAATCTAGGAAAAAATTCTAAATAAGAGCATGAAATGCCTTCATTTTTTCAAATAAAATTTTAAAGTGTACCTTGTTTCAAATAAGATTATGAAGCGTCCTCATTTTCTCAAATAATGGTCTGAAGTGGATATTATTTTAAATAAGGGCTTGAAATGGTTATGATAGTTTCGAAGAAGGTCTTTTCGCATGGTTAACGACATTTTCATCTTTTACCTTTTTTTAAATAAAATTTTCCCTTTTTTTCCTTTTCTCCTTATGGTTTTTTTTTTTATTTTATCTCACGGCTGGCCACTAAGGATGTCTGAAGAGGGTTGGGTGAGAGTTGCCTTGCCGGAATATCTAGCCGGCCGACGACCGGCAGGTTTTATTTGAAACTACCATGGCACAACCCTGTCATACCGATGTTCCAATGGAGTAGAAAACTTTCCTCAGCCGGCTATTCCATCATGTCCCGCTGATATCACCTCAGGGTGGTGATTGTGGTGGTGAAGGAGGCTCAACCTATTCTGGCCAATGCCCAAATTTACATTGATGACATCCTCCTCTATGATACTGTTCATGCACTGTTTGGCACTGTAGCAACACTGTAATAAGAAGAAAAACGTGCAGAGACGAAGGAAAATCGTCATCTAAAATTTAAGAAAACGAGGGCATTTCATATTCTTATTTGGAATTTTCCGAATTCAGACAAAGCGTGTGTGCAGAAGAGGCAAGGCGCTAATGATGGCGACTTCGCAACTTCGTGCTCCCAAAACATTCCTCCTGCGTGCTTGAAGTGAGAGGAGAAGAAGAGAGAGAAAGTCCGTCCATGTCCGTGAAATCTGTAAATGCAAGCAAAGCTCCTCCTCTCTCTCTCTCTCTCTCTCTCTCTCTCTTCGCTATAAGAGAGCTCCCGGCTCTCCACACTCCCAGTTGCTTTCAGTAGCAGATCTGCCGCCGGAGCGGCCGAAACCCTTCGAGGTCGAGGGCCGGAATCGCGGGCGGCCCCCCCCATGGAGCCGGAGAGCAGCGACGCCGGCGCGAGGATGGAGGCGTACGAGGTGATCGAGCAGATTGGGAGGGGAGCCTTCGGATCGGCCTTCCTCGTCCTCCATAGGTTGGAGAAGAAGAAGTGAGTTCCGCCTCCTCTTTTTTGTTCGGTTTCCGCCACTGTCGTCGTGCTTTATTTGCACGGTGATTTGAAGCGGTCGAGTTTGCTGATTTATGTGCAATTCTCAGTTGGTACCGTTTGTCGGTGGCGATGATATTTGATGATTTGAGGAAATCCTCAGTCCCCCTG